AGTCTCTGAGAGACTTTATCAGGGAGCGACTGGCCGCTGCTGCTGAGGAAATATTTACAGAGTTTGATAAAACCATCGTCCAGTACGAGGAAGAGCTGTGGCGTCAACAGAGACTGCTGGAAATCTACTGGAAACCCCACATAAAGCTACAGAGAATAGGTATGATTAAAACCATGATGTCTTAAACTTGGTGACTAAACTATAGTGAGATGTGTCAAGTAAATGTTCTCATTGTACACACGTTTACAGAAATGAACGGGGCTAAAATATTAAGACTTAAAGTTGTTTATAAACATTTAAGTAAAAAATGCGTTTTTGCAGGATGTTTTGTCTGTTTACTACATCATCTCTCAGTAATGTGGTTAAAAGGGACTATCTAATTTATAAACCGTTATAAATTATGATGTGAAAGAGAAGATGCATGGCTATTCAAAATGCAAACAACAATCAGAAAAATGTGGCGTTGAATTCATGGGTTCAGCCCACCTGAACCCATGATTTATAGAACCTTTGCTGCTATAATTTCTGCAACTCTGCAGCAGTACACCTCTACCAGCTTTGCACATCTGAGGTTTGACAGTTTTGCACATTCTCATTTGCAAATAACTAAACCAATTGACCTGGAAGGAGAGCATCTCAGCATATAAATGTCAGTCTTGCTTGATGTTTGTTTTTTTTAATTCACAAAAGTGTTACTGGTTTTCCTTTCCACACAATGAATTGTGGGTAAGAAAACTCCCAAAAAACTAAGCTGTCTGACCATAGCACCTTCCTCTATAAAGCCCCTGAAATAAAAAAAAAAAAAAGAAGTATTTTTGTTTTCTACTTGGATTAATCAAAAATGTTTTTCTTTCTGTCCAGACCTCACACAGCCTTATGTTTGGAAGGAGGATAATGTCACTGACCATCAGCTCCCCAGCCTAGAGATCAACTCCAGTTTGAACCTAGGTGAGATGCAACCTTTATGTATGCATGAGGAACTGGGGAAACCAGAACCTCAACAGATGAAAGAAAACCAAGAAGAACCCGAACCACCACAAATAAAAGAAGAGCAGAAATCGGTGGTAAAGGATGAACAGGAGGAACTCTTTATCAGTCTGGAGAAAGAGCAGCTTGAACAGCGTTGGCCAACTGATTCCTTCACAGGAGTCACTATTCATGAGAAAACGGAGAAGAGGAAACCAGAGTCAAACGAGGACCAACTCACCATCCAGACTTCCGCTGAGCCTGAGAAACAAAACCAGGGAAGGAGCAACAATGAAGAATCTGGCTCAAACAGGGCTGACGAACTAGAAGAAAAGAGTTTTCAGCATTTCAGAGTTGAAACTGGGAATGTTGTCGGTCCAGAAGCAGAATGGCAGGAGACAATGCACACAAACTGCAATATTTCAGCTTGTAAAGTTTGTGGTAAAGTTTTCGCTTCCAGCTATTTGATTGATCACATGAGAATTCACACAAATGAGAGACCCTTCTCGTGTCTGATTTGCGGAAAAAGCTTTACAATGGCGGCTAGATTGAAGGTTCACATGAGAATTCACTCGGATGAGAAACCTTTCTCATGTATGACTTGTGGAAGAAATTTCAGTGGTGCAGCCTGCTTTTCTCGGCACATGAGAACTCATACAGGTGAGACGCCTTATTCATGCTTCTGTGGAAAAAGATTCCCACAAAGAAGTAATTTCACTAAACACATAAAAACTCACATGGGAGAGAAACCTTTCTCATGTCTGACTTGTGGAAAAAATTTTAGCTCAAGAGATAGTTTATCTCGGCACAATAGAACTCATACAGGTGAGAGGCCTTTCTCATGTCTGACTTGTGGAAAAATTTTTAGCTCGAAAGATAGTTTATCTCGGCACAATAGAACTCATACAGGTGAGAGGCCTTTCTCATGTTTGACTTGTGGGAAAAGTTTTTCAGATAGAGGATGTTTATCTCGGCACAAAAAAATTCATTCAGGTGAGAGGCCTTTTTCCTGTGTGACTTGTGGAAGACGTTTTATTCAAAGAAGTCATTTGACTTCTCATATGATGACACACCGAGGTGAGCAGGTACGAGCTTGTGATGCTTCGTTCGTGGAAGTACCTCAGAACTGCCAGGAGGGAAATTGAATGTCATAAATCTTAATATATGTAAACCGCCTCTATTGATTTATGTTTCTACTTTACTCTTGCTCCCTTCTGAAAGCAGTGACTAAAGCATTTTAATGACCCTCCCTTGCACTTTTGAACTCCAATCTATAGTTTTTAACACATTTACCACAAAACACTTTATTGCACTTTTTTTTTTATTTCAAACTGTTATTACCCATAAAAATCTTTTATCATTGAAAATCAAAACTTGTGCTATTCTTCATCTTGGACGTAAATAAGAGCCTTTAGCTAAAATCGGTCTCCTCTGCATCCGAGGTAGTTGATAATCACCTACAGTAGCAACTAAAAAAACACAGCTTAGGTGTTTTGTTATTATGAAATTTTATGCAAATCAGGAACATCATCTGTCATCTCTCCTAGACTCTATTCTTGTTAATCTTTTTTTTTAATGTTTTTTTTTTTTTTTAATTTTAGTTCTGAACAGAAAATACTTTAGGGAAGTAGTTTTCACTTTTGCATTCCTACTTTTCCAGTTCCTAACTAACATGCTGTCACCAGCTTGGATCCTTCTATATATTTTTTTGTCAGTAAATTCAACCCCAAGTTCAGTTAACTTCAGGTCCAAGTTGTGCTGGGACACAAACACCAAACTGAGCTCTAGATGTCCATGGTAAGATGGTTGGAAATGACTCTCTCACCATAAACATTTTTTATGTGTGAATAGCAGTGATTCAGTATTTTTGAACTGGAAGTGTAGACAGACACTGACATCTAGTGGAAAGAAGTCAAATTACACCTGAATCAGAGCTGTGCATCTCGCTGTTTTTATTATTTTTATTGATGCTTACACTGCTATTCTTAAGTGTTTCTTGATTCTAATGCACTTAATCTCATTTGTATTTTCATGCAAAGAACTTTAAATTGCACATTAAAGGTTTTACAAAAATAAACAAGCTTTGAGTCTATAATATTTCTCTGCTTCAGGTCATTGAAAGGAAACTCAATGTCAAGGCAATATATGTAAAAGAGGAACAGGGACGTCTTACTAGACTGCTGTGGAGTCGACCCTTCCAAGATATTTGGTTTGTGTTTGAGACAGCAGCTCTAATAAAGGTGGAGCTTTGAGAAATCAGAGTTTTCATTGGTAGCGACCGGGATTAGAAATTACAACACTGGAGAGACATGTTAATTTGATCAGTTTGACAAAAAGTTACATGGACGTGCAGAGAAAGAACAGTGGGCAATGTTAATAGAGCTGCTGGGCAGGAGGAGAAAAAAAAAAACGGAGAAGGTTTATGGGCAGAGTGCAGGAGAACATGCAGGAGTCTGCCTCTGCTAGCCTTTGGGACTCTTAGTGCATCAATACAATTGGTGTATTTTTTCCTCCTTTGTTTAATCTCAACCACAATAATCACAACTATGCCTGCTGTGTTTGCTCTATTTTACTTGATATTTAACCCTTTAGGCCCTTATCTCAGTCTTGTTGGGATAAGCTCCGTTTTTTGTTTTTTTTTGTGTTTTTTTTACATCTTAACTTTTCAAATGTACTCTTTCTGTAATAATTCATTCCTCTCACTTAAATGGTTGAATTAGGTTTTACTTTCAGCCTTACTTATGTTCAAGTGTACTGACATTCTTGCTGTTTACTTTATGAATTTGTCTGACAAGTCTTAAAATTCTCACCAAATTGTGCAGGGATCCACGTTAAATTTAGTTCTGCTCTGAATCCAGTGATAGCTAACTTAGCATCTTGCCTTGTATCTGAATACACATGACGGATAGTTATTCATAAAAAAAGATTAAATGCAGCATCTTATCTCAAACTTAGTTATTTAAATTGCCAAACGTTCAGTTAAACACTTATGTTGTCATGAATTATGATGAACCTGACTTAGCTTGAGCTATTTTACAGAGAGGACGTCTGAGTCTCTAAATAAATGAATAAATGCAAAGCTCCTGTAGGAGTCAAAGCAACAATAAAATATGACCATGAGTGGAGGAGATGGCTGAAATGAAATGGATGTTCAACAAGCGAGGAAAATGTTTGGCATCATCACACCTCTTGACTAAGCTTTTAGGTAAGAGTTCATTCAAAAAATGTTTATCCTCTACCAGTGGGAGTAGATTTCTACCAACATTTGTCTAATTTAGCCATATTGAATGACAACAAAAAACACCCAAGAAAACTACATCTTTCTTAAAAGGTTCCTTCAGTGAAGAAACAATTTTCTTTCACAAAGCAGGAAGTAACACCAAAAGACTTGCAGATATATTTGCCGTATGAGATGGTTTCTATTACGTTTCGACTCAGGGGGCTGAACACATCATTAATTTGGTTTGTTCCTATTGGTCCAAAAACATTTGAAAACCATGCATTTACTTATCACTTCACCATTATGCACTACTTTGCGGCTGTTTATCATCTAAATGCAAATTAACTTCTTTGAAATTTGAGGTTGTAACGTGACGAAGTAAGAATGAAAGAAAGATACTTTTGCGAGGCACTGTATGTTGCTTCCCACATCTTATCTGTGCCATCAAACCAAAAAAGTTTGCAGACTAAAGAAAGTGTGTGGCATGAAGCTAGAAGTGTTCAGCCTGTGTGTGCGTGCGTGCGTGCGTGCATGGGTGCGCGTGTGTATGTGTGTGTGTGTGTGTGTGTGTGTGTGTGTGTGTGTGTGATGAGGGGCTCCAACTCCCTCCACAGTCTATGGAACCTGATACTTGATGACTCCTCATCACAAGTATGTGAGTTTCCTTCTCTTGGAGCATCTGGCCTGATGCCCGGCCACATCTCCATCTTTGTGTGTGTGCTTGAGAGTATTACTTGTTACAATTTGCCCCCCTTTAATGAGTGGCCTCTTTGTGCACACTGAGACATTCTTTCTATGATAGTTGTGCTGTCACATTTGGGAGGAAAAAGAGAACCTCTTTATGTTTGTTTTTACCAAACTTATATTGATACTGAAAAAAGAAATAGTTCTCCATTACCTCTTCACTTTTGTGATTATAGAATCCAGGTCCATTATTTGGTTTCTCATGCCCCTTTCACACGCAGCTTAATGCTGTTCATTTAACGCTTACAATGTAAATCACCCTGGTTGGATGTTTGGCAGTGAAACGCTGATGTTTATGTTGTTATGTAAAGGCCTGAAGGTTCTTTTTTTTTTTGTGCATAAAACGGTAACGCCGCACTCATGTGCATATGGTCAGACTGGCCATTGACTTTCTTTGCAATTCTGTTTGATTCTCATCTCCCTTCAGTGATCGATCTGGGATTTGTTTTTTACCAGAGAACGCTGGAGGTGAATGCGTCTTGACCAATTCATGGCCTTACTATAACTTGGGATATGCAGCTGGACAGTGATCTGAAGCACACCATCATAGTCGACCTCTGAATGACTCAAATAAGAAATACAAAAACTACCATAATTATTGCAAATACTTCGTGGTAATTACTTTCCACATACGGCTAGCTTGGTACGATACCCTTCATAAATTTCATGAATGAATTTTTTTTTTTTTTTTTCAAAACCGCATTTTGCAGCAACTCACCAGATTCTTGTGTGATATCAACATTTGCTTCGTTTGACAACAAAAAAGATCTCTCAAGAGGGAAAACGTTTCTCCAGTACCGTGAAACGTCTGCAAACTTTTTTGATTTCAGCTGCTGCTTACACCGATACCTCTGACCTGAAACTCAAACGGCTTTACCGCATCCTGCTCTCCATCTTTTTAATGACTCAGCCATTTATTTTTCATGTTTATGTACAAGATTCCTCCATGTCCTGTGTGTGTGTGTGTGTGTGTGAGAGAGTTTCAGAGAGTTGGAGAAAGCAGCAGGTATAATTGAAAACAAAGGGCTTCTTGTTCACAGCAGCAATTCATCCTCATTATGTTCATCATTTGTTTACACTGTTAACCCCCTCACTTCCTCCATCCCTCACTGTGGTGACACGTTCATTTAGTGCACAGTCTGTAATCAGTGTTTACACCTTTTCTGCCCTTCACTCATGACACGATGTGCGGCTCCAACCTGCTGCTGTAAATTACCCTCTGACAGAGGGAGCTGGTTAATTTATACAGATCCAAACGTAAAGATAAACCTATCTGAGATCTCAACGAGGAGGCTGTAACTGGAGTTAATGTTGGGAAGCGGGATGGATGAGGTGAGTTTGATCATGATGACTTCCACGGGGGGGAAAGAGCAGGCGAAGGCCAATCTGAGAGGTTAATGTTTGAGGTGAGCTCTTGGTTTACAAAGAGACAGTCCTGAAAAATATTTCAGACAGACATAAAAAAAAAATAAGGGCAGAAGGAAGAGAGAGAGAGAGAAGAGATCAAGTGAGCGGCAAAGAGAGAGGAAGAGAGAGAGCAGGAGACAGAAAGTAATTGGTGCTATGATGGCTTCCAGCTGCATGGCACATGGCCAAACCAAGTTTTCATGCTGTGCACATACACCTACGGTCACACTGCAGCATGAAAACACAATCTTTGCTTTTCCTGAACATGTTAGTGAGCTAAAATAGTCTTGTTTGTTTTAATCTGAAAAATCTACCAAGTGATAATACTAAGGGTCACTTAATAGAGGTTGGTTTTTAGCCCATAAATTACAATATTTAATGCATCTCATCA